TCATTGCTGTTAATAGTGTTCATCGTCTGTTTGATCACGTCTTTAATTGATTTTTCCATACATTTCTGCCATATGTACATTAACTGTCAGTCACCACTGATAAGCTACTACTAAATATATTGTAGAAACTTAATTTTCTGTAAAGTTGCTTTGCAACGATTTGTATCGTGAAAAGCACTATACAAATAAACTTGAATTGAAAAACTTGAATTGTCGTAGCACCCTTATCTGATGGAGTTGGACATTTATTTATGCTAGTCCACAGATATTTAAACCATGGGTAACGAGACTTAAAAAATTGGTCACCGTGATGATTTAAGAAAATGTATATATGTAACAAAGTTCAAGACTTAGGGAAGACGAGGCAGGAAAGATTCATTGATTTTAATGGAACTTTCTAAGATTGCAATAAACTGAAATGAGTGACAGCTTTCCAGTGATTATAAAGGGAGCTTTCTTGGCTATATATAATCCATTTACAATCTAAATAAAAGTTTTTCATACTGCTAAGAGCACCAATGGTCACGTACATGCTGTAAGTTTTGAGAGTCAAAATAGATGTGCATGAAGGCTAAAGCACCCTCACTAATTTCAGAAGCACCATCAGTGATTGATTGGGCCTGATGCTCCCAGAACTATACATATATTTGTATTATTTGACATTACATGTAAATGGTTGCATATATGTGACCCTGGACCACAAAACCAGTCATAAGGGTCGATTTTTCGAAATTGAGATTTATACATCATCTGAAAGCTGAATAAAAAAGCTGTATGATGTATGGTTTGTTATGATAGGACAGCGATACAACCATTTGAAAATCTGGAATCTGAGGGTGCAAAAAAATCAAAATATTGAGAAAATCGCCTTTAAAGTTGTCCAAATGAAGTTCTTAGCAATGCATATTACTAATCAAAAATAAAGTTTTTATATATTTACAGTAGGAAATTTACAAAATATCTTCATGGAACATGATCTTTACTTAATATCCTAATAATTTT